GATGTAAAAAAATCAAATCTGATAAGGTGTAAGTGCATGTAACTTACTGGAACCTATTCTACAACATGAAAATCTAAAAATGGGCACAGTTCATAGGCATTACATTTCTCCTTCGAAATTAAACTACTCAAATCAGAAAAAAGAATGTAACGCCCATGTTACAGAACAATTTCTAGAATGGCACGGTGCACAGCTAAGGAATAAAGTGGCATCTTTAAAAACAAGCTATGCCTAAGAGCACAATGGACTCAAAAGGGGAGGATTTAAACATTTTTACAGATCATTCATGTTTTTATAGTTTTAGATAATATGTAGTCAGTTATAACTATATTTTATATAGTCATATACATTATTTACAGTGTTCTACTTTTGCACTCACAAACACACTGAAGGTATACATTCAGAAAGTTTGAAATGACATATGGTCGTGTCACTTCTGTGTGAAAGGGAAGTCAGTAGCCTGCATAAACCTCCTTAAAAATTCAGGTACAATCAGAAGACTAGATTCCAACATTATTTTTCTTCAACATAGTCAATTCCTTTACACAAATTCACATATCCCAAACAATGGATAGTGCTGTTAGTGACAGAAGATGCTGTTCTTTGCATAACCAACAAAGTATTTTTACAGTGTTTGCTAGTATTTCTTCCTCTAGCTTCTGCACATCTTAGTGTTTTATGAAGAGGTAAATATCAAATTAAATATACTTTTAAGTCACATTGCCTGATCATTTTGGGGTTGATGTAGAAAACCAATAATTACCACTAGTGCTTACTAAGTAGTGAGTAAGTAAAGCTTACATACAGTCAACAGTACTGAACTGTAAGAACTGTTACAGAAAACATGTACAGTCTTGTACCTGAAGAGTACAGGAGAGAGATGGACAAACTGAAGTGAGTACAACAAAGGGCCCTGAAAGTTATTAAGTGACTGGAGCTTCTGATGTATATACCAGAAAAGGCTGAGAGAGCTGGTACTGTTTAGCTTGGCAAAGAGAAGACTCAGGGGGATCTTAATGTGTACAAATACCTCATGGGGCAGGAGGTTGCCCTTTTTCAGTGGTGCCCAGCTGACAGGACAAGAGGCAAGGGGGAAAAACTGAAATACAGGAACTTCTGTTTCACATAAGAGTATTCTGCAAGTGTAAGACTGAACAGGTTGCCCAGAGAAATTCTGGAGTCACCATCCTTGGAGATACTCAAAACCTAACTGGACGCGGCCCTGAGCAATCTATTCTAGCTGACCCTGCTTTAAGCAGGAGGTTGGACTAGACAGGCTCCAGAGATACCTTCGAACCTCCGCTATTCTGAACACCTTGAACTCATTGGCCGATTTCAATTACATTTATCAGAGGGATAGATATCTTAAATATACAGGATTCTTCCATTTTGCTTTTTTAAAAAAATCAGCTGCTGGGAAGTCAAGCTAGACACTTTTTTAGTCTAATAGTCTTATCAGATTTTAATAAAAGTGAAACATAATTAGAAATTGTGTTTGGCAACAGCCACATACCTAGTTGCAGGTGTTATTTACTAGGCTATATAGTCATTGCACCAAAGTACCCACAGCTCATATTGCCTTTGCCCAACTGTAAAAGCACATGGGTAAAAGCTAGAAAGATTACAGGATGGTATTAGGAAGAAACTCAGGAAGCACAGACCTGAAGGCATGAAGTAGAAAGGATTGAAGAATGTGATGTTCAGATAACTAATACACTTTTATAAATGACTTCAAATGAGACTAATAAAAATAAATGTCACTTTTATGTTCATTTTTGCTACTTAAGATGGGAGAAGAATCTTTCCTTCTTGCCTGTGCTGCAAAAAAATTTTAGTATCATCACATTACCTGTTAGTAGCAAGAAGGAATTCAGCTAAGGGATGACAGTACAATGGCTTACAGATAGAGCAGAGGCTCATGCAAACTTGGAAGTCTCTGAAATAATGTGGATAACTTTGCATGTAGATTCTGTGCCCCAGCATTTTGCTGTAAAATGGGGCCAATGATATTTCTTGTCCGCCCAGTGATGCCAGGAGGAGAAACACATTCAATGTTGTGAGGTTCTCAGCCACTCCAAACAGAAGAGGTTAAGTGTTGCAGCTGAAAAAAACTGCAGTCATCTGCTATCCTTCTACCTACTACATTTTTTGTTAACTTTATTATTTAATTTCTCTATATATAATATATATTTATATAATTTATATTTATATATTTTTTATATTTTTTTCATATACCCTATGAATGATGATAATTTTTACCCCTCAGCCTCCATCTATCCATATCTTTTCTTATGCTAATTTTCTTTTGCACATTTCCAAATTCATGCATATTTCTGCAAAGAAGAAATAAATACTAAAAATTGCAAAGAATGAAAAATAGCTTTTAAATCTTGATTGTGAGTGATGCAACTACAACTTACAATGGAACCATAAGTACAAGAAATAAAAATACAAATAATGCTAAAACTCAGGGGCCTCAAATCAGCAATGACTTGCTTATGTGAAATTAATGGATATACTGGAGTATGCACATAAATCCTTGCAGGATCAGAACAAAGGGCTTGACTCGACACCTGCTGGAGTTGACAGAAAAGTCTTACTTTTACAGATTTCAGCAAGTTCAGAATCAAGCCATCAATTTTTCCTGTGAAACATGGAACAAAGATGACCAGACTTTAGTAGTGAAGGTATTGTTTCACATCCTATTTTGTAGAAGGAGCTGCTAAAAGCATGACCGATCCGATGTTTCTCTTGCACCGCTATAAATCACAAGCAACTTAACTGAAGTCATTAGTGTAATATGAGGAAGGTAAGAAACAGGCCAAGGGTGTTGGTACACCATATTGTACCAGATTCCCTTAAAAAAATATTTCCAGTTAACTTCTGTTCTGCTTAGAAACTAATGGCATGATATGGCTCAGGAAAGTTTGCTTTGGGAATAGCATTCACAGAAGTCAGCTAAGTATTTTTAAAAAATTAAGATTCTATTTTGTTAACACTGATAATTTTAAGAACTACAGGTTTCTAAAACTGCATCTTGTAAAACAAAACACTCTTTGGTTTATAAGTTTAGAAAAATGTGTCTGTAAACCACTAACTTCTATTTATGTACGCCCCAAGAAAGCAGAGCTATTTTTTCAAATACATATTTTAAAAAACTGCCAAAAAAAAGACTTCACAGCTTCTCTAGTTTATTTTTTAATGGCTGAGTTCAGTCATAAACACCCCAAAATAAAGTTTATTGTGGAAGTTACACATTCTTGAAGTTATGGAGTTGCCACTCATTCCTAAATTAATGGTACAAAAATGCAACACTTTTCTAAGTACATTTTGTTTGCAATCTTTTATCTCTCAGTTGAGAACTCAATAACTTTCTGTTTAACATTAGTGTCTATTATCTACAACTGATTAAAATCATGTATGAATGCTTTCTTATTTAAGTGTTTTACAGCTAAAGTGAAAGGTAGAGAAGTGCTTCTTAAGCAGTACAGCCAGAGGACGTATTATTTTGATGTATGCCTAAAAGAAATTTGAAATATTATTATGATGGGCATACAGTTGACTATGTAGTAAAATGCATTTGATCTTTACTATCTGAAAAGAAACAGGAAGGTGATGAAACTTAGGGAGGAACTCTTTCTTCAAAATTGAAATACTCATTCATACTCCATGTTGTAATAAGAAAGCAACAGTTATATACAACATGTATATAAAATGATGTCTCCAAGGTGAACCACAGCATTTTACTAGAAGCGCTGAAATAAACCAGCCTTTTATGTTGCTAGAAATCCTAAGTCAATGTACAAAGCAATCCTTTGTAATGCTCTATCATAAATTTTAAATGTGTAAGCCTTACACGGTACTCAGCCATTAAACATAAACGGGCCAAATTCTATTCAGACTTGCACTGTTTTGGGGAAGCAGGTTAGTAACCAGAGCATAAATCTTGTCAAAATTTCAGCTGGCAATCAGTACTGTAAATCATACTGATTTTTTTTTTACAGGAATGACATTTTATGAGTAAATTATTACAAGTCTGTTTTTCCCTAAATATTCAAAATCAACCTTTCTAAAAGGTTCATGTTGAAGGTGCTTGGCAAGGCAACCCATCAAATCAGTAAAATTATTTCATTTTACTTACTGACTAGCATGTTTTATAATTAATGTGCAATATTCATTTTGTTTATTTAATTTGCTTACTGTATACATTTAGGTATTCATCTTAAAGACTTAGAATGCAGCAAAAGAATGATAAAAGCAAATAGTTCTACTGTGTAAACAAAGTCCTCTTCTTTATTAAGAATCAGGACAATTTAGTACGAACATGCAATTATATAAGCTGTAAACAATATGCAAAGTGACTGTAACATAAAATAATCTCATCAAGACTATGTACTCTTATCAAATGTATCAAAAAAGAAGTTTATTATAAACACTAAATGTGGCACTCGGGCTTTTTCATACTTTCACTTGGTTTTCAGAAATATCTAAAATTTCTATACCTGAGAAATTATAATTTTAATTAATTATATAAGTATATGAGACATATGTATATACGTAGTGAATTTTTAGAGTAAATTTAATCTTGTACAGGGACACTGGCTGACAGAATTAATCTGCAGACACATTGAGACATAACTTTACCCAAGTACAGAGCAGCAGTGAAATGAATGTTAGCCAGGATCAGTTTTCAAAATGCATGCAATTTTGCATGGAAATACAATTTTGTAAAATTTATATTTTGTTTTCTTTTCAGTGCTTGGGCTTTTCAAACATTTACATAGAGTAAGAAGTAACGAAGTGCTGAAGTACTTGACAACTGCATTATAAAATACAGTACTGAAAGTAATTTGTCTAAAATCACTGTAGCAAATCATATAAACAAGGATTAACTACACTGCACAATCTATTATTAATCTAAAAGAAATCTTTATTAATTTAAGATCTTTTCTCAAAGAACAATACTACAATTAAAAGTATAATTGTTCTGCATATCTTACCTTGGTGTTGAAAACTGCTTTTTTTTTTTCCAGTTACTTCCAGGATTTGCTTTTCCATAGCTATTTATCAGACCACAATTAAGCCACTCTGCATTATCTTTCACAGTTAAAACCAAAGAATTTTTCTCAGTGATAATGTTATTTGCATTAACTAACTATACTGAGAAAAATTTCATTATCATATAAAAATTTTTCGCATTAAATCAAACATGCACAGCACATACTTTTCAGTTGGAAAGAACACATTCTTAGAAATTTGTACTGAACTACTTTTTTAAAAAACACCTATGGATAATAATTTTTTAAAAAGGTAAAAGAGTTGTACTGTCACCTAGTGGATAAAGGTAGTAGAAGAGTACACCTAGGATTACTTTTAAACTACTTATGGTTTTAACAACATTAAAATATGCTTCAGGTTTTATATTGATTTCTTGGAATAGACAAGTAAACATCAAGAATTGGACCTATTGCTGTCATGGGTCCTCTGAGTACTTTAAAGACAGATCTACAGAGCCTTTGGCTCTGAATATATCTTTTAATTGATTCATTGTAATGTTGGGTATTACGTTCTAAATCTGAATGTAAACACAACATTCTTAAGAGCTGGGGATGTAGGAGAAAACCTCAGATTGAGAGACTGGCTGGTAGTGTAGACAACACAAAGAATAAAGCCAAAAAATGCTGTGCAACCGACCTTTCTTTCACCTTCTGCTCTGAACACACCGTCTTGCTTTTTTACTCCAGGATGTCTTTAAGAGAAGTCTGACAAAGGAAGACTACATGTGTGATGTTTCTGAAAGCATCTACACGAAAAAGTTCAGCCACTGAATTCAATAATTCAATCTAAATATACGCACAGATTAGATCCCTCACTTGTACAGTTTCCAAATATAAATATATTTTTTTCAGAGATAATTCTTAACATAGGAGCAGGAAAATATTTAACTGAATTTTTTCCAAAACTCCTCCCTGTATTAGAATCTGATCTGGAACCAAAGGAAAAGCTTTGCTTCAGGATGCTGTTGTCAAAACTCAAACCAAGCCAATGCTGCCACTCTCCCCAATACTTCTTGTGCAGCAGAAACATGGTGAAGAGTTGTACCAACTGTAGACATATGATGGAACTTCCCTCCACATAGTCTAATATGGCAGGAGGGGAAAAAGATTTTAGAAATGGTCATTTGTTTACTGACCTCTAGAATGGATTTTTAATGACGGAACAGTAATATCTCTTACTGAAACAACTAAAGGTATTCCCTTTTACTTTCATTCATTCAGTAGTCATACTCTCAAAATTTTCTATTCTATTTCAGCATTTGAGACACTGGCTGAAGCTCTTTATAACCACCTCATTCTTGTCCATGGACTGAGGAATTATAGAGAAACATAGCAAGTACAGATTTCCCTTGGATAGCCATTTTTATGAAGTCCTTTTCTGCAGCACAGAGTAACCCATACTGGCTTTGCAACAATTATAAAATTCTGTGGGAACATGCATTAGAGCACATTAACACAAATCATTATTATCACAAGAAACAAGACATATGCGCAGGAACTTCTACAGGATGCTTGAATGGTGTTGTATTACCTGACAAACCATTTCACCCTTGTTTGCCTTCAGTGAAGCAAACAGATTTACTTGTTCTTAATGCTCCAGTCTGAATACTGATTTATTCAACTAGGGTTCATATTAGAGGGAAAGAATACCCTACCTTATATTAAACTTTGGAGAATACTTAAAAGATGAGGTCTATAGCTTTCTAGTATCAGAAGAATCAAAAAATACCACCAACAATATTCTCTCTCTTTCTAGGTAATACACTCTTTCTTGAAATGTTTTAAACAAATAAATAGCCAACCAACAAAACCCTCCTAATTGAAATGCTGTGGAAATCAGAAATTATTATAAAACCACAAAATTTTGTTCAGGATTTCAATTCAATCATATTTATAACAATTCAGTCAGTTTTGGTCTCTGTTTTGACACCAAGTATTTTAAGAAAAAGTTTTATTTCCATATGTATTTAACATGTTTACTAAAACAGTGTTTTCTACAGAGGAAATGAAACATTTGTAGGGGTCATAGTCACATGAACTATATTATGCATTTTTCCTAGTGAAAAGTAAATATTTTTTTCTTGCACATCCCTTATATGGTTAGCTTCCTAGTTACAAATTGCAAAAATACACAGCTTAAAACAACTGAGTAAATTTTCTGCACTGAACAAATTCTTACTGAGCTTAAGTACTGAGCATAGGTAGAGGTGAACAGCAAGTTCAATGTGACTATCTGCAATTTAAAAACACAAGTGGCAAATAATACAATGTACTACTTTGTCCTTGGTGTGTGGGACTTTGTCCTCAGTCTTGTTCCTTTTATACTAAACTCAGTGTTTAGTGGAACTGCTTGCAACACATATTCATAATTCACTTTCTGTAAGCAGTCAGCAGTATGTGCTTACAGCTTGTGCTTTCAGTCAATATTCTTAGAAGCAAACATGTTTGCTAGAGTATTCAAAGCTGGAAAGCAAACATCAGAGGGCATGACCAATCAAAGTCATTTTAAAAAAAGGTTTGGAAAAACATTCATAAATTCCTACCTAGAAAGCTACATCTTTTAACCTAGATTTTATAGAACACATGCTTTAAACAATATGAAAAATATTTGCAATATTGACCGATACTTCCAATGGACTTTACCAAACTTTAAATTATAACATGAAGGGGTGTCTCCAACGATAAATAAATAATAAATAATTTAAATTCAAGAGCTACTTTGGATCTAATAATTTGTTTCATCTAAAGAAACAAGACAGTTAATAGTTTCACAGCTATGGGGGTGGGGGATCCGTTTTCATCCTCTGCATCTTCTTTACGAGACATTTGATACTAAACAAGAACAGGACATTCCAGAACTTACTCTAATTGTTTCCTAAAGCTGGAGAATGAAGAGTTCAGCACAGACTTAGTCTTTAGCCTTACTGTATTTTGTGACATGCTTTAGAAAATGATGTAGGAATTTTTACAAACTAGAAAAAGTACAATATCTGGAAATAAGCAAAAGAAAGAAAAAATATTTCTCTATTACAGCAGAATTAGATCTGTTTGGTGTCAAAGCAAATGAGACAGACTGAGCTATAGGGTAAATGTTAATAGAACAAATGAAAACTGTGCCTTTTATGCTATGTTTTCCTAGAGTTTATACAGTACGTAAAAGTAGAATTATCTGTAACCTTTATTTCTTTGCATGGACCTTAAAATCTCTCTGAGATGCACACTGTGAGGACATGATCTGAGAAAGGATTTTTTTTTTTCCTAAATGTGATGGCAGTTTAACCAAGCTTAAAACATGTATGCCCTAATCATCCATGTTAAGGCAGAGGACAGTGCAAAAACTATGGAACTACTTTATAAAGGGGCTGAAGAATTGTAGAAGGTTACGCAAAAATTGTCTGTGGGGAGCAGAGAAATTTGGTTAGTGGGCTTTTGCACTGCTCGTCACCTGCTTCCCTCACTTTCTCATTAAGGTACAGTGGTTGTGGCAGGGCTGGACACATTACTGGCATCCAAACCCTATCGAATTTCTTTGCGCTAAAAATGGACACTCCCATCCCCCAAGCTTCATGGGATCATAATCTCACCTCTTGTGCATCCATTTCCTCTCATACCTGACTAAAAAGGCTCATGGTTGAAAATATCATGAGGCAAGAATTTCCTGTGAGATTTCCTGCTAGCCCTGAGTTCTGTAAGGTTGAGGATATTGCAGTTTCTTCTTTCACCTCCTGTCTCAGCTAAAGCAGGAAGTTCACAGACACAAAGGCAAAACAAAAGGAAAAAAAAAATTAAAAATTTCTTAAAAAAATTTAGAAGAAAATTCTAACAGAAAAATGCAGCTTTAGTCTGGCTTTCATTTTCAATGAAGATTAGGGATTATGCTATAGCTTTATAGAAAGTTTTATATACTTTAATATAATCCCAGACTATCATAATCACCAAATGAGAAACAAAATAACATATGGTTTCATGTATAGCTGTAAACAAAAGATGCAACTCATGAGACCTTGTTTCAATCCTCAGCCCAGTAATAGGCTTCCTGTGTAACCTATGCATACAACTCAGTCTACCTGATGTTATAGTTCCTTGGCTGTATAATTAAGCTAGCATTTCTCTGTCTCAGAGGGATCCTCTGAGGATAAAATTAATAATTATTTGCCTTTGTGTTAGTATGGTCAAAAAGTTCAAGTAGATTCCAAAAAGTGTTCCAGAATTTAATACATTTTAAAATAGAAATCAGGATGTTGAAAATGGAAGGATCTATGATACAGCAAATTTTAAAGTTCTATCTCAGTTTAAAAATCCCAACCCCCCCCAAAAAAAAAAACCAAACCCGAACACTAACACAGAGACCAGTAAAGTTGTAAATGCAAAAATTTTTTCAGCTAGGTTAATTCCAGAATTAACCTATACTAATTTTAACAGTGAACTGTGACACTTATTCAAATGCACTTTCCTTTTGTAATTTTTTTTTTCTAACACACAATGTGACCAAAGACTAGTGTTAAGACCTTTAAATTAGAATTGGCAATCTAGTAAAAGGCAGATGTCTCTAAGCTTTCTACTCTTTCCTAAAAGCAGTTGAAACCTGGGGAATGGAAGCATTCTCACTTTAGGAGATGACAGGCATGAATACCAAGCAAATACAATTAAGAATGAATGAAACTTTTCTATGGTCTCTTTCAATGTGGACAACACTTCCTATGAATTAGAAGACTATGAAAAAGTTTGTGTTTAAATATGAAGAAACAATTGTGATGTCTGCAATTTTCCATCATTGTTAGTGTCTAAGTTTTAGTATCATCATTAGAAGAACAAAAAAGCACAAGTGCTAGAATTCAACGGTATACAATTAAAAGAATTGTTCATAAGAAACCACTAAAAATACTTTGGGAAAGATTATCAATCAGTAACAGTTTGCTGTCTAGATATAGCAAACAGAGAGCTTATCTACAGATACATTTAACACTTCATATCATTGTAACAGGTCAGTGAAA